CCACCTGCATCCTGCAAAACCCAGAAGTTTTTAGGAAATGCATTAGCACGAGAAATTCGTTGTAATTGAGATGAAACCTTTCATTCACAGAAAAAAAGAGCCGAGCCAAACCTGTTCTAGGGTTTGCATGAAATAGCACTTAAAAAGCCAGTGTTCCATTTTTATGAAAGGTTGTAATTATAAAACTTTCAAATAATAGGAGGGTGAAGTAACCGGGAAAGAAAGAAAAAAATAGATGGTAGAAAATAAATACAGGAAAAAAGGAGCAGGAAGTATAAAGAAATGAAGAGAAGATATGAGTTACAAGTAAATGACTGCAAATAAATATTTGCGAAACAAGTAGACGTGCGATTCCGCAAAGTTTTGCGTAAAATCTATATTTTAGAAAATTAAAAAAGAAATTCTAGCAGCTCAGGTACTGGTTATATGTAATTTCAATCTCTAGGCATCCTAAACTATGCTTATCAAGAAAATTGGAAGGAAATATTTCGAAAATCCAAAAAAATCTTCAAGAAATCTGATACCAAAAGATGATAGGGACAAAACTTGTACCAAATACGACTTGGTCCTCTACAGTATATAAAACACCATAAAGAAAAGGCCACAGCAAGGAATTCGGTAGTAGAACGAGCTCGCAGATAGATAAGATTACAACGCAAAGAGTTTTCTCAGCCGGAGACGCAGAGCAGAAAGACTGTGTACTTTCCAGAAAATAGAGTCTTCAGCTCAGCAATTTGCAAACCTCGGATAACTCTTCGTTGATTGAAGGAAATTGTAGGAAAAAGAGAATCAACGAGAATAGCTCTGCTGCAAGAACAATTTCGAGTAAATCTTCTGATTATCGAAGTAAATCCGAGCGAAATGCCTGGATTCTGGCGGACAATTTCGCGACTATGGCTCGCGATCAATAGGCGGTGTTGTCGGCCGAGTTTCTGGCAAAACAGACGTTGGATACGACAACAAGGTCAAAATTAGAAGAGAGGGATTGAAGGGCTTCTCCTGCTAGATTAGATGGGCACAAAAGTGCCAAAAACTGGGCCTTTTCATTAAAAATGTATTTAAATTAATTAGCAAATTTCTTGCATCTATACGTGCAGTAAAGTTAGTGAGGTGAAAATTCTCGAATCGATTTTGCTTTCCTGAGAACCCCGTGAGCTCCATAGTGCCTTTCTACATGGCATCCATATTTGTGATGATTATGCAGCAGCTGTAGAAGCCCCATCACATCAGTAGCGTGGCGCAGTGGAAGCGTGCTGGGCCCATAACCCAGGGCTCGGTGGATCGAAAACACTCGCCGCTAACCGTTTTGCGTCTAGTATTCTTATAGAGAATGCACAATGTTCTTGTTATGGAGAGAAAAGGACTACGTTAGGAAACTTTATTACTATTAAAAACTCGTAGAACATCAAATTGTGGAATTGGGATGCATGTCATTGGAATCACCGCGTAAAGACAAAGCAGAATTTGCTTTTATCTCAAAGACGGATAAGGCCAGACTGTGCCTTTAAGTTTAGTCGTACTACTGATACTAAAGAAAACGGTCGAGTTGGACAAAGGTGACAGCTGTCTTATGTTTATTTGTTATATATGGATTGGCATATACAGTGCGTTCCAAAACTTTACGCCCACCCCAATATTCTGGCTTTTTTTGGAAATTCTAAGCAGCTTTCGATCTGCAACTTTCATATTCGCATCCGCCACATGAGAATACCCCGCTACACTGAAAACCATCTTCTTCGCTCGCCAGTTGCGCTTTCTGCGCCGATTTCTTCAAAAACGACCTTTCCAAAACCTTACACCCACCACAGCAAAACATCCGATAATCGTAAGAAGACAGCGCAAAACCATAATATGGGTATGCCTGCATCTTCAGTTACTCTGTTCAAGTGTTCCTGTAAAATTGTAGCCACGCCGAGCGCCGCGTGCGCTCGCGGCTCAAGAATACACGGCAGAGGTCTTTTGTGGTCCCAAGTTGCCCGCAATCCAAGGTAAAATTTTTCTTTCAGTGACTCCAAAAGTTCCTCCTTATGATTGCAGTCAGAATTGATGCTATTAACACATAAATGTCAATTTTGCGCTGGTTTAGCCAGGAAACTGATAAGAGCATGGCGCGTTTTTGTTCGTTATCCCGTCGGTGCGCAGCGTTACGTAGGCCGATTTTTCAGAAACGTTGTGCGATGGATTGCCTGAGGTTCCCGCTCTCACATACTGCTCACCTTATGCGCAACGAATGCGACATTCTGACGCTATGGGCTGTAGAAATCTACACATGCACAATTCCTATCACTATCAATAGAAAAAGGAACCTAAATGCTTGAACTGTCTTTTGCAGCCTGTAGCGCCAGAATATCGCATTCCCGCATTCGTTGCGCATAAGATGAGCAGTATGTGAGAGCGGGAATCTCAGGCAATCCATCGCGCAACGCTTTTGAAAAATCAGCCTACGTAACGCTGCGCACCGACGGGATAA